TTTTTTTTGTTTTGTTTAGTTTTTTTAACAATTCAGAACATTTAATAACTTAAGTGTATTGATTAATTGTAGAATAAAGTTTGTACTTGTGGATTTTCTTTTTTAGCATATGACCAAACATACATCTGATTAATCTTTTTTTTTTTTTGAGATGGAGCCTCACTCTGTTGCCCAGAGTGGAGTGCAATGGCACCATCTCAGCTCACTGCAACCTCCACCTCCCAAGTTCAAGAAATTCTCCTGCCTCAGCCTGCCGAGTCGCTGGGATTACAGGCGTGTGCCACGATGCCTGGCTAATTTTTGTAGTTTTGTAGAGTGGTTGTCTTACAGTCTGAAAAACAGAGTTGGTTTCATGGGTGTGTGACTAGTGCTGTCGTGTGGGGCCTGCATTTAGAAGAGATGAGCCCCATGATTGGTATAATGCTCTACTGTCACTATTTTGAAATTCTTGATAAGTTCTGAACAAAGGGCTCTGCATTTTCATTCTGCTCTGGGCCTTACAAATTATTTAGCAGGTTCCTGCTAAAAAAAATCTCAGTGTTTTGAGAGCTTCTTTGTGTCATCCAGAAACAAAGTGTTTATTGCACTCATATTCTACACCTTGACAAGAGAAGAACTCTGAGGGTCCCTGGAATCAGAATTGTCAGTCACTAGGGGGGTCTATATACACTGGCCAATCAGGGATTTCAGACCAAAAAAACATAAGCTTCTACTCAATAAATGAGATTTCCAAATACAGTGAAACCTGGTTAACAACTTTGGTTAGTGAAGTGAAGCAATGCCAACAGACGGTTAATGTGGAACACATGGTGTAGATTCAGCTGTTATTTGAGAAAAGTCCTGGCCTTTACTAGAATACGGGGGATAGCTGGGCAAAGATAGGTACAACTAACTTTACTGAACAGTCTGGTCAGCCATACTAGAAATAGTTTTATGATTTAAAAAAAAGTCCTTCAATACTTTTCTACTAAGAAAAATGAAGAACTGGACCCCTAAGGGAAACTGCCTGCTTGTGAAAAATGTTACTCCAACTGGTGCATCCAGGATTGCAATTTTAATTGCAAGCAAGCAATTTGATGGTAGGGAAAAATTCTGTGATACTATGGCTTAAAAGCACATCCTGTGCTACTTTTATAGTGCAGAAGTTGAAAAAGGCTGTTCGTATCTAAGTTACCATTTAAAAAGTTATTATTATGATTATTATTATTTAGAAATAGGGTCTTACTTGGCCGGGCGCGGTGGCTCACGCCTGTAATCCTGGCACTTTGGGAGGC